GCTATCCAACTATCTCAACCTCTGTTGTCCCCTTCTCCCCCTGCCCTCAATCTTTCCCAGCATCACGGTCTTTTCAAATGAGTCAAGGATGCTCGGTGTCCTGCAAAAGCAGCACAGTTCAGCCCACAGTAGGCCCTGGGCCTATAGGTCAGCTGGGCAGCTGACCCCAAGTACACATTCCCTCCTGCTCTTCTATCTGAGTCAGGTCCCTGCTGTTTCCCTCTTATATTTCCGAGCACAGTCTATCCATTGAACAATTTTACAGCGGCAGTGAAGTAGTATTTTGATATTTGTCAGTGTCTCATCCCGGGGGATATAAGTGAATCATAAGTATTGGTTTAAACATGATATAGAGAAATGATAATACTAATGATAGAAAACATTTATTGAGCAATTACTATGTGTCCAGTACCATGGAAGGCTCTTTATAATAATTAACTCACTTAATCTTCATAATAGCCTGTAAGATACTATCCTCATTTTCTGTCTGAGGAAACTGAGCCACAGAGGGTTACAACTGGTAACTGGCTGCTGGTAAACTGGAATCCTACAGAACCAGTGTGGTTCTGCCCTGTGTCTATAGTCTGTCTGGGCATAAATCTGCTTTCATGAGCAGGCTAATAGTAATTTTCACATAATAGAAATCCTTTGGTTATCATAAAATTTGATCATTGCTGAGTGTTCAAAGGTGTATCAGTTGCTTATTGTTTTTGAGGTGCCAACTAATGCATGAATGAACAAAGGACCCGTATAGGAAGACCATTTCTGCCAGGGCATTACAGATGCGTTTGGAATGTTGCTGATAGCATGTATTCTAGAAATGTTAAAGTGAGTATGGGGAAAAACATGTCCAGATCGCCTATTTAAAATAGTGACACCTGACGATATTGGAGAAGGGGCTGCCCACTTATGGCGTACTGTCTGAGTTGTTTTTCAGTCGCTCAGTCATGTCTGACGCTTTGTGACCCTATGGACTGCAGCACGCCAGGCCTCCCTGTCCTTCACCATCTCCCAGAGATTGCTCAAACTAAGCCCCTTGAGTCGGTGATGCCATCCAACCATCTCATCCTCTGCCGTCCCCTTCTCCTCCTGCCTTCAATCTTTCCCAGCATCAGGGTCCTTTCTAATGAGTCAGCTCTTCACATCAGGTGGCCAAAGTATTAGAGTGTCAGCATCAGTTCTTCCAATGAATATTCAGGATTGATTTCCTCTAGTATTGACTGGCTTGAACTCCTTGTAGTCCAAGGGATTCTCTAGAGTCTTCTCCAGCACCACAGTTCAAAAGCATCAATTCTTCAGCACTCAGCCTTCTTTATGGTCCTACTCTCACAGCCACACATGACTACTGGAAAAACCATAGCTTTGACTACACGGACCTTTGTTGGCAAAGTAATGTCTCTGCTTTTTAACGTCCGAGTACTTATCTTAAACCACTGAGGGATATTCCACCAAATTCAATGTTACTGAAATTGAAGACATGTAAGTTCACAGCCAAATACTATATACAGCCAAATCTGCTAAAAATTCAAGTGAAGTGAATTGAAGTGAAAGTCGCTCAGTCGTGTCCAACTCTTTGTGACCTCATGGATTACACAATCCATGGAATTCTCCAGGCCAGAACACTGGAGTGGGTAGCCTTTCCCTCAAGGCACAATAGCACAGATACAACCTTCTATCACTACTGCCCAGTCAGATGTTCAACTTTTGGGGAGCATTAAGTTAGTCTGGATTCTTTTTAAAATGCGGTCTTGTCATTTCAGAGATCTGTTACATGAAACCCGGAGAGGCATAAAGGAATTCACGTGAAAGCAAAGTATGTGTTAGTTAAAAAGATTCCTCTGGCTCCTCTATATTTACCCAGCTAGTTCAGACCCATCTTTGAGATCAAAGCAAAAATGATCCTTCTGCGGGTTTGCTTTCTTTGATTCCTCTAAATGATGTTAGAGTCCCTAGCTCCCAGCTTGTCCATGCTCCTGAAGAGACCCATGATTTCCTTTCACATTAGATTTTAATTTTAGTTAATGAATTAATTAAATTATGATTTGTTAAAGCCTCTCACCTTTTCTAGTCTATACTAACAGCACTCTTGACTGCTTATCCTATGCAGCACTATTCTAATTGCTTTATATGCCTCATTCATTCCATTGGACCCACAAGGCCATTGTCAATGCACATCTTATTTTTCATATTTACCTACATGAGAAAACTGATGCCAGAGTGATGGGGAAAAATGCCAAATCGCACAGTCAGTAAAGGACAAAACCAAGAATGAACGAAGTCAAATGACTCCGGAGCTCATGCTTTTAATAGCTGTGTTACAGGGCATCTCTATAAGCTTCAGGAAAACACCTAGCCAAGAGCTCACTGAATCCCAGGAGTTTAATAATTGTCTGGGGGCAAGTGAATGAATGGACACAAGGAGGAGGAAGTGAGTGAATTATTTGACTGGTTCTAACCCTGCTAAGTCACTCTTGCCCAGGAGAGTGCTGTGTGTTCATATTGCCAAGCACTTAACCTGAATTTTGACTACTGGATGGAGTGATTCAAGAACTTGCAAAAACAAAATTGAGCCTCTGAGAGTGCTCACACCACTCCCACCCTCCCTGAGGGTCTGCAGTTGGAAATGGCTTATTTTTCCTTTGTGGTTCCAGAGGAATCCTGAATAGAACCTGCCAAGAAGCCAGGACAGAGACTGAGCCACAGACAGATAAGCACCAGGAATGCCATTCGCCTGTACTTTCAGTTGGTCCTGAATGCTTAGCCTAGCACCCCTGGAGAAATGTCATCTACCTTAGCCTTTCTGGGATGACTGGTTTCCTGGTCTGAGATTTGAGGGAAGAATTAGCTGATTAAAAGGTTAATATATAATTGTAGGCACATTGTGCCTGGGGAAGACCCTTAACCATTTGATGTTTAAGTGAATTAACGTGTGCCAGTTATAGATTTTCTGCTTGTAAAATTGCCAGCAAATGATTCTGAGTCCTGAATCTGCATTTTCTGTGTGCACCACTTGGAATGTCAGTGTTACAATTGTCTCAGAAGTGATCTACCCCAACCCTGCTCTCAAAGCAACGGAAAGATTTACACGCAGAAGTTCTCAGATATGGAACTAGAACATCCTTCCCCCTTTGATTTTTAGAAGGGTGATGCCAGTCGGGCTGGTGACTCTCCCATTTCAGTTCCTCTGATGTTTCTCAGGTCAGTCACACTGTGAACCCTGTGAGATTGATTCTTGCTCTCGTTCCTTGGGTTCAGTGCATTTCAGAGAGTTCATATTTAGAGAGAGGCCCTGGTTCCACAGCTTCCAACCTTTTGCACACTCCTTTGAGTTAGCTGGTAGGGACAATAATGAGTTTTCAACAGCCTGTGTACAGTGGTTAAGAGCTTCCCTCATGGTATCAAAGTTTAGTTTCCCAAGAAGCAGGTATTGAGTCAAAGACTTGAGTGCCAACAGTCTTATTTGGAGGGTGATGTCAGAAAAATAGCAACAAGGGATGAGAAAATGAGCCAAGGAGAAGACATCTGATGCACGATGAACTATCAAGCCATATACCACCGTGGACAACTGGCGCTCAGGGCCAGGTGGGAGACAGAATGGTTGCCTCTTAACCGTCTCACCTGAGGGTGAACACACAGCAGTTCTCATCAGTTGTGGTGATGGTATTGGGGATGTGAATTTCTACACACTGGCTGCTGGTACCAGACTCAGATAAAGCAACATCCCACAGGTTTCAGAGAAATATCCCAGGCGAAGTCCTGCCTGAAGGGTGGGAGCAGAGCTCTGCCAAAATCGGAGGACACTTAAGCCTGGATTCAGATCCTGGCTCCACCCATTCCAGCTGTGTGGTTTGGAGCAACTGTTAACCTCTCTAGGATGTTGGCGGGCATCTCTGTGGCTCAGATGGTAAAGAACCCGCCTGCAGTGCAGGAGACCCGGCCGGGTTCAATCCCTGGATCGGGAAGACCCCCTGGAGAAGAGAATGGCTGGCTACCCACTTATATTCTTCCCTGGAGAATTCCATGGACAGAGGAGCCCAGTGTGCTACAGTCCATGGGGTTGCAGAGTCAGACATGACTAAGTGACTAACACACACAGAATGTTGGGCCCCTTGTCTGTTAAATGTGTTTTATAATGTGCTAAGTACATCATAGTGCTGCTGTGGAGACTGGAGTTGTCACTTAACTTTTATGTTCCAAATCATATAACCTGAATTTTTGACTTCTGAGTGAAATGCCCTAAGAATTTCCAAAGACAAAGCTGAGACTTCAGAAGCAGTTGTAAAATTTTAATTGCCTAATAACGAAACTAACTGAAGTAAAAGGAAAGGGGTAAAATTAATTTTAATAGTGACTCTATCTAGTCCAATCTGTAAAATAGCATATTAGCATGTAATCTATATACAAATCATTAATTATACATTTTACTTTATTTTTGTTTTCAGTATTTAGTCTTCAAAATTCCGCATGTACTTTCCGCTGACACTTTCAGCACGTCTACATTCCAGGTGCTCAGAATCCATGGGTGGCTCATGGCCACCATGTTGTACTGTGAAGGTCTAGAGCCCTTGAATTCTTGTTAAAAGTAACTTCCAGTGAAATAGTTCTGTTTTCCTCCTCTTCATCGGTGACAATGATCCTTTGCATCTATGAAAGTGAAGTTGGTTTTCGCTCAGGCATCATATGAAATTGACAGTTTCTGTAATGAAGTTTCACACATGGAAAACCATGGTGAGATTCTAAGCAGGTGTAAAAATCTGACGAAGTTATTTCTTTAACTGCAACTTAATGGAAACTGCAACAGCTGTTCCCATTTGCGTGTTTTCCAAGTCTCATTGCCAAAGTGAATGGTTGGCAGCCACAGGAGAAGTATCAACTTACCTCTTCATTTGGGAAATGAAATTAAAACCTCAGCTCATTTCTAAAAGTCACAGATTTGGTAAAAATTTAGCAGGGCAAACATATAAGCTGCGTTAAAATATTGATGGCTTTGGTTTTCTCAGGTGCTGCTGCTAACATCTGCGGAAGATTTGGACTGCACTCCTGGATTTCAGCAGAAAGTGTTCCATATCGATCAGCCAGCTGAATTCATTGAGGACCAGGCAATTTTAAACTGTAAGCAAAGTCACTCAACAGTGCTTTTAGGCTATTCACTGATGTTTAAGAATGTCCCTCAGCATGCGGGATTCCCTAAGCTAAGAGTTTTCTGATCAATTTTCTTGTCACTGTTTGACCCAGGGTGGAAAGTCTTGAATTAGGGCTTTGTCAGCTTAGAGGTAAACCGAGTGGTGTGTGTCTCTTTGTCACATTTGATCACCAGCGAGCATTTCCTGACTGCTCCCAGGAAAGGGGACCACTAGCCTCTACCGTGAGTATTGACCTATGGGAAGGAAATGAAATCCATTTTCTCTGGGCAGATCCTGAGAACAGACCATTGCCTTCCTGTGGATTGCTGTCCTACCTGGATTTCTCATACGTAGCACTGGATAAAAATAACATCCAGAAGAGGAGGTTAGCTTCTGGGAATTTTTAGGTATAGGAATTTACACTCTTAAGACTAATAATGTGGTTTTCTGAAAGATTCTAAAGCTCTACTGGCTATTTTGTGGATTAGGCTCAAATTCCCCCAAATTCCAATTGATTTCCTTAAAATATACTACCCTCAGATCTGTGGTTATAATATCTTCCTCTTTTTAATGCCAATATTATATTGTTTTATCTTTACGAGGGCATGGGGTGCATTGCTAGATGCAAAAAAAGCATGGTTTTGTTTTAGCACAGTGAATTTAAAATTGATGGTAGACAAATAACCATTTAATTGCAGGCTCTTGAGCACCATTCTTTAACATTTGGGAGTGAAGGATATAAAAACGGTGGCTTAGCTTGGTCAGATGCTCTGTGGTTTAGGGAAGATAACTCTACGCTTGCCCTGTGGTCCCAGGTTTGCCTTCCGGGCTGACTGTGTTCCTTCACTCCTGTGCTATGTGGCGAGCATGTTTAAATGAAAGGGGAAGAACATTCAGCCGGCTCAACTGGACTGTTCTGTGAGGCTGGAACCCCTTTAAGGGTTGAAAGGAACACAGAAATGAAGATGCAGTGTTGAGGATCAAGGGAGCCCTGCAAAGGCGAAGCCCATGCATGTCTTGATGCAATTATGCCAATGAAATCATTTTAGTAATTAGGGTCTATAATGACAAGGTGCAAGACTGGCCCAGTGAGTGAATTCCAACATGTGGTTTCATTGTTAATTTGATCCCTGATGTGACTCCTCGGTCAGGCCATCAGGAAATCTCATTTGTCTTTTGATTCTTCTGTTTATCAGAATCACTATATTTTAAATGGAACTTGGCTTCCGAGAACCGTTTTTTCTGGCTCTCCTCTCCTCTCGTCTGCTTCATCTCCCTCTTTTCTGTCTCTCTCTCTCCTTTCCCTTTTTTTTCCAAGTGATTATCCCAAATGGCATCTATATTAACATGTGTGGAAATGTGAAGCCACCCTGAGTATGGAAATTAATAGAGTTGGTATGCAAAGCAGGCCCATAAATGTGATTGCTTCTGTAATCTTCACGACACCAAACAGCTTTTAATTCACCTCGGAGAAGCTGGAAACAATCATACTTTGGGGGATCTTTTTAATTTAAACTAGACCATCCTGTACATTCCAATATTACAGTTTTGTGTGTGTCTGTGTAGGTTTTTTATTTTTTTAATCCTCTAAGTAATTTAGTGGGTTATGGTTGTTGATTCTGTGTAAGCTAGTAAAAGTGAAATGGAACTGGGTTGATTATCAATGATAGCACATTCAGCAAAAGTTGGTGATTTGAGGATATTTAATAATTTATATGTGATTTTGTAAGTGAATTGTTGGATCAGCAAAATCTGACCAGCCCCCTCTCCTGTCAATGAAACTGGATCTATACGTATTACTAGGGGAAAATAATGGACAAAGAATAGATCTGGGCTGCTACTTTTTAGTTTATCTCAAAACAGTGAGCATAGGTTGTCATAGATACTGTGAATAAGGTTAATTGTGCCTAAATGAAGGAGAACGTTTTCACTGAGCTGAGAATGCCTACTGACTACTGTTTGGGAAAATCTGGATTTCTGGAAGTAATAACAATGTATTTTGCTCTATTCAACATGCAGGAGGAAATAAAAAGTCCAAAACTTTGAACAGATCTTTTTCCCCCAAACAACCAATATTTTACATCTCCCTCCTTCCCTTCTCATTCTTAGTTTCTTTCATGCATTTCTCTGTGGTCCAACACAAGACCTTTTCTATCTCTGAAAAATGTGATTAGCCAAAAAGCCAGTGAGTGGTGCGTTCTCTCAGAATGAAGACCATATTGTCACAAGGCTAACATCTGGAGGAAAACTGGGAAGAATCGAACAGAATCAGTGGTTTAAGTGTACTTAGGTATGTGAGGTCACTGCCAAGACCCTGGGAATGGTTAGGGATCATTCAGTAACACGTAAATATAAGCTGATGATCTAGGTAATACCAGAGGTTAAAAGAACCAGGTAAGTAACATTACCTTGAACTCCTCCTATGACACTGACACTTTCCATTTTTCTTTTTGTCTTTGTAATATTTTACAAGAGCTTTGGCTTCCAATCATCATGAATTTTTGTCTTGCAGGAAGTATAAAATACAGCATAATCAATCAATTGATGTCCACACTTTTCACCATTCTATAAACTTGTCTGAAAATGTCTCTTTGCCTGGCAGACATAGTATATCTGCTCACACCCCAGACTTAAATTCAACCAATTCTGTGTTCAGCATTCAGCACCTTCCAGTAAATGTTTATTCTGTCCACGACTTCCTGCTTTGTTCAGACAGTAATATTTCCTTTTATCCTTTTTCATCTTTCTCTTCAATTCTCACTGACTTATCTCTTTCTGTTTTAACTGTTACTAATGGTCACCTCCACTCCTTTTATTTCCATAATATTTTATTCACTGCTCACTCCGATACATTTTTCCTTCAATTGTTCTAAAGCCTTTTATTTTCCTCACATCCAAATAACTCTTTATTCTGCTCTCCTTTCCAGTAACTAGACTTGCTTTCGTCTTTAAAGGGCCATTTTTCAACAAGCTTCTAGGATCAAAACATGGCATCCCACTATTTCTTCTAAAGTAACCAAGGGAGTTTTATCACTGTATCTTTCACAGTGTGAGGCAAAGCCCCCAACTCAGGAGCACTCGGCTTCATCTCAGTCTTGAAAGGTGAGCTGGGAAGATGCGGTTATTCTCATTTTCTGTGAGAAGTACAAGAAGAAAGGGGAAGACAGTTTAAAAGGCAGAAACTCGGAAAGGAGACACCCGCTCATGATCTTTGGACTCAGGGAGGGCTCTGTCCGAGGTTGGTTGTAGGCAGTCCTTCGAGGCCTCCAAGACCCAGAATTCTCTTAAACTGGTTGATGAGGTTGCTTCTTCTGCAATGTGAAAATCATGTGATTCTGGTAGCCACTATGTGACCCCGGATACAGCCTCCCAGGCTCCAGAAGAAGAGTTGGCCTGGAAAACTGACCAGCCAACTGGCTGATGTGGATAAAGACCAAGTGATAAGGCCCTGACTATCTTGTGTCCTGAAAAATCACAGAACGGAACACTCTGCCCTGCTCTAATCAGCTCAGACAGACCTTCCTGGCACCAGGGAGGGATCTGTTTGCTAAGGGAACCATAGCTGGTCTCTCTCTGGGTTACTCTCCTTTATGGAACTGCCCTCCACTCAGGAACTCGAGGACGCAAGCTGCTCCCTTCTTGGTCCTACCATATTTGGCCAAGTCATCAAGCTGGCAAAGAGGGGGACAAGGAGAAGGGTAGAGAAGGCACCACGGATGTTTAGCCACTTGAGCTCAAAAGGGACGTGTATTGTTTCTGTTCACACTCTCGGCTAGACCTAATCACAGAGCCAAGCTAACTGCGAGAGAGGCTGGACAGCATGGAGGAACTCAAGTATGGGCGTAAGCTCACTGTCTCTACACAGATCCTAACACGGCAAAGCGACCCCAGTCAAAAAGAGACTCCTGAAAGAGATGTAATGAGGCCATAATGGAGGCCGCTGCCTCTGACTAACCTGGGTCAACACGGGGATGAGACAAAGACCGCCATTCAAACAGGACAGGAGACCATGCCCCTGGGACTACCTCCTGCTTTTCTTGGCAGGGGATACTTTCCCCTAAGCAGAACAGCTTCTTCACTGCCCCCTCTTGGAAACACCCAGGCAGGGACCTTCTGATAGTTGTAGTAAGGATGGGCCCCGATTGCATTCTTCTGATGATTATAGTATTGAGGTTAAAGTCATACAGTTTAAAACTCATGTTGACTAGAGTTCAAACAAATGACATAGTCCCATGTTAGCTGCATGACAATGAGTGAGTTATCCAAATCCTGCAAGTCTGAATTATTTCATCTCTCTAAGAAGGATAACCACAGTCTTTAACTCTAGAGTTAATGCAACGATTGATGGAAAGATGCTTAGAACATAGTTGTGAGTAGCTGGAAGCTGGTAGTATTATTACTATTATTCTTGCCATTGCTGTTATTATTATTGCTGTTGTTAGTATTATTATTATACATAGATCTTAGATAGGTTTGGTATTCTTATAATGGCCATCTAAACCTGAATTTAGCAGACAAATCATGGCCATTAAAATCTGAAGAGATTAAAAAAGAATCTAAAGCAATGATTCTAGGATTTGAATTTCATGGACCAATAGAATTTTTAAAAAATCTTGGATTGATAAGAGTGTATTTCACAATATTTTTCTTAGTCTGAATATGAAAAAAAAAAAAGAAGAAGCAGGCTAATGAGTGAGATAAAGTGAGACTACCTCCGTTTACTTTGGCCAGACTTTTAAAATGTCATTGTTATCAAAAAACAAACAAAATAGGAATAAGGACCAATTCGCAAAGAGTCGGACACAACTGAGTGACTGAACTGAACTGAACAGAACAAAAGAGAAGTCAGTCTTTTGAGTAAATTTGTGTTGTGAAAGATGTGCCAAATGTTTTTGTTTACCTCATTTTGTGGGAAACCACTGATTTAAGGTATTAGAGAACTTCCAGAAAATGTAACAAGTGTGCCCACATTAGGGGCAGATGTTGGCA